AAAAAAAAAAAAAACAGGTTCCAATCTGAACACCTGTGACTCCATGAGGTCCCTAAGAACGCAGTGGGGTGTGCAGCAGGGCACTCAGTCTGCCGCTCCCTCTTCCCACTGCAGAGCAGAGACCAAGCTCTATGCAGACACTGTGCTGCAGCCCACTGGTGACACCTGAAAAACTGGACAGGGCCAGTGATCCAAGACACGCTGGGCCCCATATGGGGAGCCTGATCTAAAGGAGACAACCAGGAGTTCCCACAGTGGCTCGCCCTACAGGGAGAACTACAGACAAGGGCAGCCTTCAGGTGGGAGGCTCCTAGAGGTGGGAGACAGAGGCAGGATACCCCATCTGTCCTGACCAGAGGACAGACAGCATAAAGCACCTGATGATGTGGCTGTGCTGTAGGAAGAAGCACAGGTGCTCCAAGGGCTTGCTGGGGCTGACTGCCCCTGGGACCCAGGATGCCTCTGCCAAAGCACTTTCCTTGGAGACCGTAATAATACCTGTGCCACAGCTCAGAGGAGGAGAGGTTGAGTGTGGCCCACATTTTCTGAAGTTTCAGCCCGTAGTATGTGCGCTTCTGGTTGGGGCATCAAGGCAGGAGGGCATAGGGGAGCAGAACTGCTTAACTCTTGACAGCTGGCAGGCAGAGCACAGAAGAGCACCGAAGGAGAAGCCTACAAAGCCCCTGTGACCCCCAGCTGGGCCCACCTCTGGCAGCACATTCAGTGGTAGACGGCTGCGCCTAGCACAGTACCATGAAGAGTGAGGCAGAGGGATTCCTTCCACTGTCCGTGTCCTCGTCTCCTTTGCCTCTTGAACCCCTAATGACCTGATCTGTCTCTCTGTGTCTGATGTTTCATTTGGGAAATGTTCCATGGGTGGACTCACAGTGGGCACAAGCCTCTTGTGCGCAGCATGATGCCCCTCCTGCCCATAGTTCAGGACTGGTGCCATGAGTAAGGCTTTGGAGTGGTGGCCTTTGGAGTCTCCCAGATGCCAGTGAAGGTGGAAACAGTGCACTCAGCCATCAGGAGCCAGGCCTTCACCCTGGGGATCCCATGCACTGCTGTGCCTCCTAGAGAGGGTCCTGGGTGGCCAGGCTGTGGGTTGTCTGCGGCACAGCGATGGGCTGCTGAGGCGGAGCTGCCAGCAGGGGGCGCCAGAGGTGGTGCCCAAGGACAAATGCCTTGGCACCCTGACATCTTGTCCCACACTGAACCCCACCCCCAAGGTTTCAACCCAACCCTGAGCTCCAAATTAGTGACTCGGACTGGTGAGAGTGGCCCAGGAAGGGACAGGGAAGAGGTCAGCAGAGGGAGGCCCTCTATTCTCTAGGATCCCACACATGGTTGGATTCTGCCTGCTCCCTCTCCACAACTCATAAGGCTGCACTCAAGTCCCTTGCTTCTCCAGGACCCAGAGCACGGGCCTAGCCCTCCTCGCACATCCTCTCTATTCTGCTGTCACAACTCCCTGCAGACACCTTCCCCAGGTGCCCTGCTAGCCTTCAAGCTCTTGCTGTGTGAGCCCAGCTTTGTGGTGGGCATGGAATGAGTTCCAGGGCATTTGGCACCTGGTGAGAGAAAGAGGGCTTAGGCCCAGGCAGCACTGTGACCCCTCTGCGGGTTAGCACATGGCTGCTGTCCCATCACCCACATCCCCAGGACTCTTGCCGCAGGCCCAGCTTTGCACTGTCTCCCCTGTTGCCTGTGTCCAGCACACACCACTGAGCTCCACCTGTACACCCTTGCTGTGTCCCCTGTCAGCATGCTTCTCCTGGCCTCCGTCCACACCTGCTCTGCATGAAGCCTCCTCAGCAGAGTCAGCAGAGGTGAGCCCTCCGAACTCCCATCCTGCAGCCACTTTTCTCAGTCTCATAGAAGCCACACACTGCCTCCCCAAGGCCTGTCATCCAGCTCTGATTGCTAGGGCCTATCAATGAAAAAGGCCAAGTGTGACTGAATGCATGGAGGAGTGTGTCAGTGTCCTCTGAAACCATCTTCCTGTGTCCTGGATCACTTCCTCCCTTCACTCCCTGGGGGCTTTCCATGCAGGCTGCCCTCTCCTGCTGCTCTGGAAGCTGCTGTGGTGTGCGTTCCCTCCCCTGTTAGGCTTACCCCCAAATAGCTCTCTTAGTTGCTGCTCCACACTGTCCAACCCAAACTCAGTGGCAACCCAGAGCCCCAAGCCTATATAGAGCCCACTGCCACTTCTCGCCTTCACATGAACCCCCAGATGACAGGGACCCTAGGGTCTCCTGCCCGGGAGCTGCTGGCCCTCAGCCTACACACACTCAGTTGGTATTTGTGTAGTGCATGAGCTCATGACTCTGCCTGAGGTGCCATGAACACTTCTCACCCAACACAGCCTGCCCTCCTCCCTTCCATTCTTCTGTCCTGTCTTTGCTACCTCCCCTCTCCTCCCAACTTAGAAGCCCTAGTCACTCCGGATGGCACTCTTTTCACACACCGACCACTCACCACAGTGCCAAATTCTGCCTGTCACATCCTACCCAGGCTACCAGGGGCCCTTCTCTCCCAGTTCAAAACTAGGAACCCCGGGACTCCTTACCTGCGTTCTGCACACCCATTCTCCCATCCACCCTGCCACCTAGGCAACTGTTCTTATTGTCAGTTCATTGTGGCAAGCCCTCCTTGAACCCATACCCCATAGTTGTGATTGAAAAGATGGTGGCACTTGGCATATGTATGGGAGGTCAAGGACTTCTTCTATGAGAGCCAGCTGTCTGGGTGACAATGAATACAGCAGAAGATAAGGAGCTATTTCTTTCCTAACACTGTGCATGCAGTCTTTAGATTGCATCAAGGGATGGTGCCTAGAGGTGCTTATCTCCTCTCGCTAACTAATCCAGTAAGGCTGCCGCTGCTGCCAACTAACACACTAGCTTGAATGCAGAGGTAACACAATCTAGCTTTCATTCCACTTACTTTACAATTATAGTACCTACTATCTGCAACATGGACTGTGGGGTTTCTAGCTATGCTGATAAAGTTCCATAAAGTAAATCTTACTCATGAGAAGAACCCATCAAAGGACCAGTCTAGTGTCCAAGATATATAAAAAGATCTTATTTATCAATGAGAGAAATTTAATAGAAATTGAAATAGACTCACTTTTCATGAAAAGGATACATGAGACCCTTAAACATAAGTGCTTAGTTGAGCATGGTGGTACATGCGTATAATCCCAGCACTTGGTAGGATGAGACAAGAGCATCGCCATGAGTTCAAGACCAGCCCAGGCTACATAGTGAACTCGAGGCCAGCCTAAACCATGCAGTGAGACCTCGACTCAAAAAAAAAAAAAAAAAGTAAAATCACAATGCAACACCACTGACTCCCACCAGGACAGAGGCAAAACTCACAGCCTGAAATGGTGGCAAGGGTGTGGACTGCTCCAGGCAACAAGGTCAAACTGACAACCACATAAGGAAACAGCAGCCTCAACCCAAGCTAAGACATGCTCCACCACGAGCTCAGTTCCTGGGGACAGGTTCAACAGGAGTGAAAAAAGGCACTGACCAGAAGTCATGCTTGTGAGTTCAGAGAGCAGCTGTGAAAATAGCCCCCAACAGACCACAGTCTGTCTGTCCATCGACCGTAGGTCTGTGCACCAACAGCTGGTGGACAGATTGTTGGGTATTCACATAATGGAAAGGGTATGAAAGAGAATGATGGATTAAAGAAAATGCCTTTTGTATCAAAGAAGCTAGACTGGAAGAACAGTCCTGTTTCCATTCATGCCAGGTTTAGAGAGGCAAAATGATCCTCAAGTCTCAGAGCCAGGTCTCCTGTGGCCTGCAGGAGGTGCTGCACTCCAGCTAGTCTGCCTTGCCCTGTGAAAATCATTTTCCCCAACCCACGTACTTCTTCACATGTGTGTTACACATTAAGAAAAATTGCCTAGGTCTGGGGAGGCACTCCGTGATCCAGTGAGCACTTAGTACACTAAGATCCAAGATTCATCTCCTAGTGCCAAAAAGAAAACAAACGATGTAAAGTTACGCATTTAAACAATAGACTATTTAAAAACAAACACCAGAAACCCCAGGTTCAGGCTGTGATGGCTGCACAGAGCTAGGCAAGTCAGCTTCAGCTGCGCAGCCACCAGCCAGCATTGGGAGCACAGAGCAGGACACTGGGGACAGGCGCTTGGATGTGAACTCAGCCTGGTGTCAAGCCCTGGGCAGGGGGCCTGATGGCTTGTGCCTCAGTTTTTTCACCTGGAAAAGAAGATGGGCAAGGAGCGACCGGGATACAGGGGTAAGCCCAATCAACCCACACCAGCCCTGCTCTGCCTGGCTGAGCCCTGCAGTCTCCTGGTCTCTGTACTGTCCTTCTACCTGGACCCAAGGAGATGGCTCAGGGCCGGGGAGATGGCTCATGGGCCGGAGAGATGGCTCAGTGGAATAAGCGCTTCCCTGGCAAGCGCAAGGGCCTGAGTTCAATCCCTGGTTCTGCAAAACAAAAAAACAAAACTAACATGTCCTTCCACCTGGGTTGGCTTATTCGTCTCCCATGTCCCATGTGGCCTTCTACCCTGGCCCACCCATGAACCCCATGTTCTGTGCTGCTAGACCCACTTTTCCGATAGAGTTAGAGCTGGTCTTGGCTTCTAGAAGCTGGGTCTCGACTCCTCACACTTGATGGGAAAAGGAACCATTCTTCAAACA